GATGTACTATCTTTAGTCCAAAGGCAGTATAACACCAATCGTGGTCCGCATTTGCAAAATATTAATGCGTTTTGAAACCTATAAAAAAGAAAGTGTCGCAACCTTTTAGTGAGCGAGTGTATGTACATACAGATATACATATATACCCGGGAAAAAAATTCCATATATAATTATATATAACTATATGCAAAATATGTCCATATATCTTTCTTTTCTTTGAAGAAAAATTGTTCATGTAATTATATATGTATATTTTTAATCACTCATATATGATTATACATATATGAGCAATTTTTCTCATTTCTTCAAACTTTATTTTTTGTAAAAGAAACCAATGTAAAAATTATTCTTTTAATTATTTTTTATGTTTCTTTTTTATTATTATCAATTTCGTATTAAAGAATAATTTTACAAAAGAAAGAAACATAGACATATTTTGCACATAATTATATATGGAACTTTTTTTTCCGGGTGGATATATAGATATATAGATATACAGATACACAATATATATATTACTGATATATATAGATTTGTATGATTGGATATACATATGATATCCAGTAATAATTTATTAAATCATGTAGAAGTTATAATCTCAACCTGAGTTCTTGTAAATGTATTGTAAATAAATTGATTTTTCGAGTGGAAATGATGGGCATACAGTAATTATATAAGAGCGTTTTCTTTCGGCTTTGTATGCAGTATGTATGTATGTATGCATGTATGTACATACATATATAGTATATGTATATTTATCTAATAATGATAAATAAATGGCTTGTATATTAACCGATGGTAAGTCAAATCCCGCGGATCGACAGATGTCGCTCACAATGCTCTACCGGACGAAAACTGTCAGCTAGCAGCCAGCTGAGCCAGCCGCGCAGTCGACCGTCCTGGTGCAGTTTCCCGCGCGTGCCACGTCAGCTGATCGGCGCTCCGGAGTAGTCGCGAGATGTCAACTGCCGCACGCAGGTGGTGCTCGATTCGTAATGGCGTATGACGGCTGAGGAGCCACGGGTGCGAAACGCGCACGGGTGCTCGAGTTTTCGCGTATCCGCCAACACCGGGGTGGTGATCAAGTGCCGCGGTGCGTTGCACGTGTGTAGGTGTGTCGCGGTAAGATGAGCGCGTCGACTGGCGTGCTGCCGTCGTACCAACGCCTCGCGAACGGCGTACCGGTGCCGTTATTCTCGAGACGGTCCTTCCGTCCTCGCGAGAAGTACCTGATCCTCCTGGTATTCATGACGTTCGGTGTCGTGTGTTTCGGCGCGTTCTTCTACCTGCCGGATTTTCGCACCGGCGGCGCCGCCGTGAACAGTGTCTACCGCGTGTACCAGAGCATGCAGAAGGCCGGACCGGAGCTGCTGCTGCCGGTGCCACCGCGCGCCTCCGGCGACGTCAAGGACTCGCGCTCGTCCGCGTTCGGGCACCCGAACGCGGTGCCACCGGGCCACGAGGGCAGCGATCATCAAGACGTGCACCTCGTCGAGGACAAGCAGAAGTTGCAGGTTGCGAATTCGCGCTTGCCCAAAGTCGACCTCTCGTTCGACCGTGCCTCTCGAACGCCTCACCTCGAACATAAGTTTCCTTATCGGGGAAACTTACGCCTATCACTTTCTCTCTCTCTCTCTCTCTCTTTCTCTCCCTCTTTCGCGATATCGTTGAATTCCCTCCGGTAAACTGTACCGTCACGGAATGGACATGCTCTGTTTGCATCAGGTCGTGCTCCGTTTGTTTACATACGGCCATTGTAACGTACATGGCTGACGCACGTGCGCGGACTCCGCGCGCTGTCACTCCGTTCACGATTCCGTCTCAATGAACGATAACGATCTTCCGTTAATCGCCGGTTTCGTTTAAGCAACGAGCAAAGCGAACACTCCGCAAATGCGCGAATATTTGTTTAATATTAATTAATGACATTGATATCTAATTAATAATAATTTATCGAGATGACCGATTCCGCATCTCGAGGCAGTGTAATCGTGACAACAGCTGGCGTAGCTTATTCAATCATCGACTGCATTTGACCGTGATTTAAGCTATTAATCTTTTTGCGTTCTTTTAAGAACGCGCGTATTATAAGTATATGTTATAGGAATACTCGCACATATTGAAGACGTCTATAATGCTCGAATCGTTCGACAATCAAATTCAAACTCAGCAGAAATTCTCTTTGCATCACCCATTTTTTGCAGTCCCATGTCTTTCCATCGAATGCAGATGCATTTTAAAGCGGATCTCGCGTAACTGACTCGATCGTTGGAATTCCTCGGGGTTAAAGTCAATCTGATTTCGCTCGGTAAAACGGAGACAACACGATACTGGATATCTCTCTCCGCGACTTGTACACGCCGACGTCGAGAAACTCTCCGGTTCCGTTTGCGCTCTTTTTCTTTCTTTGCACTCAACGTGAGTAGGTCGCGCAAGGTCGTGCCGTGATCTTGCCCTTGTACGGCGATGCATCCGCGTGAAATCGATATCCGGATGCTGGAGCCGAAATTACGATTTATCGAAATCCGGAAATAAAAAAAAATAATCCGAGAATTTAGTAGCGACTAAATACTTTTTTTTTAAAGAATAGTTGACGTTTTTTAACGAGTAGGCAATTGTTGCAAGGCAAGAAAAAAAGGGAAAAGATAAATAATATTTAAAGAAAAATTTTTATTGAAAGAGTACGCATTAAATTTGATATAGATACGAATGAACAAATAAATTGTTTGCGTGTGATACATTTTGTATGATAAATTTACTTTTTTGATAAAATTTATATAAATCGAAGTTTCGGCCCGAGACGTTAATTGATACAGATAAGCGTACTATTTAGAGTTGTATCCAGCAAATATGATTTATCTTGTTCGTATGCGCGCGTGACTCGTTCCTCGCTGTTATTTCCATTTCGCCATTCTCTTCTCTTTCGTAGGAAATAATAACCAAGACTTGTTTTACACGCGCGTTGCACTTTTTCGCCATAAATCAAACGACACGTCGTCGCAGTCGATTTTTTTTTTGAAAGGACGCTGGTCGAATCCTATATTAAATTGCAACATTGTGGCTGGCAATATTTGAATTTTTTGCTCGAAAATCGAAATTCCGCAAAGCTAAACCTCGCGCAACAATGTTTGTCTTTTGTATTTATTCTGAGTTTTGGAACGTGGGAGATGATTTGAATAAAGACGCACGTATACGAAGGGAAATACGATCTGTCGGAGCAGCGTTATGTGAACGTGCGAAAGAAAATATCCCGCGATAAATAGCGTTATCGTTGAGTAGCATTCATGCACGCGCGTTGCGGAATGAATGTGCATTCGTCGCACATAAGTAGTAGTTCACACTAGGTAGTTACTGTGAAGTGGCAATTACTGAGATACATGATGATAGTTAAGTACTTTAAAAGATTTTAAAGTGATTCCTCATAATAATTCAAGATGAAAACTTCATATAACCATATGTCTGAAGCGGCTTAATTTTAAAGATTGAAACACAATGGCAAAGATAAAGAGAAAAAAATTTTGTTTTTTTTCCAAAACTATCGAAAATTACTCGAGTTATTTTGATGAAATTTTGTATATGTTTGAAGGACATGAAGGACTCATTTTTTGAGATCATACATAATTTAACCAAGGCGATCGTCATGTTTTAAGAAATCACTTTGAAGTGATAATAGTAGCATTGCGTGTGTTCGATTGTTGTTTAATACGACTGACAGTCACTTCTTTTAAATACTTACGAATTGCGGCGTCTTTTTTGTTGTAATGCATGGCATTATTTTTATTGTCACTGTTCGAATAATATTCGTGTCTTAACAGACTTTTCTCAAGGTTTCTCGAGATAATATAGATTGTTTTACAATCTTGTGGAAATGAAATTAATAATGCGACCCAACAGAAACGTGTTATTTCGTATGAAAGTAGTTCTCACATGATATTCTCTTTTTTCTTCTTTTCTTTATAACGATGTAACGGTAAGGTGTTCGAGAGTACGGTTCGGAGGTAAACAAGGCGAAAATGAATGTACTTCCGTGAAATCTAGATTACAGATGGCATGTGTAATTTTCGCGGAAATGCATCGGTCTCTTTCCCATAGCGATGACCGATCCAAGATCCAAGTCATTTAAGCTTAATGAATCTATGGAGCCGAGCTTAATAAACTGCGGCCACTCACATACATTTACATTATGTACATATTTTTGCAAATGATAGTGCAGTAAATAATTTAATGGCGCAAGCAGGATACAGTTTGCTTTGCAAATATCAGGATAAAACAAAATTTATATATATATGTGTGTGTGTGTGTGGAGTAAGATAGCAAGAGCTAAAGTTAATTTTATGTTTATATCTTAATTTAAAAAAAGCATTGATCCCTTAAGTTTTAAATTTTTAAATACAATTTCTTGAATCGTATTTCCAACTAATAGAGTTTGAGCAAACATCAGTAATACGCATAATTTGCATAATTATCGCTTTACGAGCTGGAGATAGCGAAGCCAGTCATGGAAATAAGTTTGTTATGTTGCGTATTTAAACCAGATACTGATAAACAACTTTTAGATTTAAACTATTTTGACTAAAATACCGTTTAGTTATTAGTTTATTTCTAATTTATCTTACAGATATGCATGTGCATATGTTAATAGACTTTGTGATTATTATTTTTACTAAAAAAATAAATATATAAATGAATATACAGTGTTGTTAAAACTCTCTCTAAATGTAAATCAATGGAATCATTACTGATTTTCAGCGTATGTCATTTTCCAGTGGCATACTTAGAACTGTGATAAACAGTAAGTATTTCAATGTTCTTTTAATGATAATATACTGATTCAAACAGTGAATATCACTGAAAGATAGTGAGTTAAACTATCAAACAGTTCTGAGAAGTGAATTCACTGGTCTTTCAGTGATATTCACTGCTTGAATCAGTATATTATCATTGAAATAACATTGAAATATACTCACTGTTCATTACAGTTGTAAGTATGACTTACTGGAAAATGATATACACTGAAAAACAGGGATCCACTTTTAGGGAATAAAATGTTCAAATAATAATTTTTGATATATGTATACCATAAAATTATTTCTATTTCAATATCTTTTCAGTATACATTTTTTTCAAAATAATGCTTTTTGATTAAATTAAATTATTAAACTTATTGATTTCTATTTTCGAACATTAAAATATAATCGGTTAAAATCGATTAAAATATATTTTTTATTCAGTCTTTAAGATTAAATCCAAATAAATCTGAATAAATCCAAATTTAAATATAAAAATATAATGATGCAAACCAATGCATTTTAACATGCAGTGATTATATGTCACATTTATTATTGTTTACTAATTAAACGTGTATTGTATGACTTTCGCATGCCATCTGAAATGATCACGGAATACATTTCGATTGCGCGCCGAATTTTTAGGCGAAAATCGACGAGGAGTATCAGCAACAAAAGACATTAGAGAAACCGGACATGGGTGAATCGCGAGTGCGTACAAGTAGTTCCTCATCGTTGATAGTGCACAAGGAAGAAATGGTTTTGGTGACAGTGCCACCAGCGCTTGCGGATAAGCTGCCATTAACCATCGGTGGAGAGGATAAGGATCACATCGCCAGGCAACGAAGGGACAAAGTGAGAGAGGTGAGTCTCTTTTAGTTTAGAAAATATTTGCATAACAAACTATAAAATATTTACAAATGTGTGGATGACTTTTCAATCACATATAATTTGAAATACTATATTGCATTTTAAAAAAATTGAATTTTTCTTTATAATATACATAAATAAAAAATGTAACATGTAGCATAGCGATTTTTTTATAAGTTGTCTATTACAAATGTGAAAATGTATTTCTCGTACTAGGGTCGCTTTTCTGTTACTTATTTTGAACGAAGAGTTCCTATTTATTGCGCGCGATTCTATAGAAACCGACATTGCCAAAATTCGACTATTCAAATCATATCCTTCCACGTGGCGAAAAATCCCGTGGCGTCTCGCGTATCACTAAAGAAATGCCGTCATTTCCACGTAAACGGGAAGTGAGAGAAGCCGCTTTTTCGCGATGTGGTAGTTTCGCTTGCGCCGATCTACGTCGTGTTTTGCAAAATAATGAACCGGAATTTTTAAATTGACCCCGAGAAGTTCAATCTCCTAGTACAATGCGCCACTCTACGCTCTGCATGCAAATTGCTTCTATAAAAACTATAGGATCATAACGACTTTGCTCGTAAAAAAAGCACCTGTGCTGACTTGCAGATTCTATATACATATTTACTTCAAAATTTAGTTATGTATATATATATATATATAGAATATATCCATATAGAACTATTCATTTTTCGAGTGTGTATTTTGTATATAATTGTAATATATGTGTATTTATATACAAAACGTGCCCGCGTGCATATAAGATACTAAAAAAAAGTTAATAAATTTTTTCATATTTTGTTAGCCTTATTTGCTTATTTTTTTCTCGATTTTTTCATATTTTATCACTCTTGCTTTGCTGATATCCATATAGAACTATTCATTTTTCGAGTGTGCATTATGCCATTTTAAAACTTGTTCCGAAATTGTCATATATATATATATATACGAAAAATGAATAGTTCTATATGGATATCAGCAAAGCAAGAGTGATAAAATATGAAAAAATCGAGAAAAAAATAAGCAAATAAGGCTGACGAAATATGAAAAAATTTATTAACTTTTTTTTAGTATCTTATATGCGCGGGCACGTTTTGTATATAAATACACATATATTAATTATATACAAAATAAATCCAATTTATTAACGCTTTATTTATCTTTGTTTTATCTTTGTGTATTATTTTTAATATGCCGATACGACATCAGTATTGAACTCGATATTTAATTTGCAGCATACGACTTATTAATAAAATTTTATATTTGTATTAATAGTTGTATTAATGTTAATTGAAATGATTTATAAAAATTTGGATGGTATATACGTCGACATTAGTTTTTTGTATCATTTTTATATAATTATTCAGAATGTTATATATTTTTTATAAATGTTAAATATTTTTCAGAATGTTTTAGAGAGGTTTCTGAAATTATAAATACATATTTCCTTTGATATCTTAGGAGTGATATTATCTTTTTATATTTTTAAGCTACACTAGTATAGATATAGGGTGAGTTATTTTAAGTAACGCATTGATTTTTTTCAAAAACCAAGGCTTGTATCGAAAAATATTTCGTACAAAAGTTTTACAATTTCAAGGAAGACATAAGATCATGCCATTGATTTAATCTTACGTACTAAAGTCATATAGAAGTCAATTTTGTTTTTTTTTTAATGGAAAGTCTTCGAGAAAAACCAAAGTTGACTTCCATATGACGTACATACATCCAAGATTAAATCAGTAACACCATCTCTTATGTCCCTTTTGAAGCTGTACAACTTTTGTATAAAACATTTTTCGATACAAGCCTTGGTTTTCGAGAAAAATCAATGCGTCACTTAAAATAACTCATCCTGTACACATTTAATTTATTTCTGCGCGTACATACGATGTAACAATTAAATGTGTTTCTGCATTTTTATTTAATATTTAATGCAAGACAGAAAGAGAAAAAATAGAAAATAGACAGAAGGAGTAAACAGAAAGAGGAAATGGGCATGTGTTCATGAGATTTTTTGTTTCAAAAATTACCGTAAAATTCCATATAATATATGTATGCAATTTTCAGAATTGCTAAACGGTTTAACTAAAATTCACTGTATGGCAGTGTAAGCTGATAATTCGTTATACTCAGATAGATTTTCCACGATATCGGCATCCGAGGCCGATTTTATTTAATTCTGTTCATCCACCTTCTGTTTTATTCTCTTTCCTGGACTAAATAAAATCGCATGGAATTCGCAGTCTCGTTTGATTTGCAATTTTGCGGCAGTATCGATTGCAGGCGTAATTTTATAAGCGCATGTTATATTTTAATTGGGAAATCGTGCGTTTACGGAAGTTTTAATTACCTTGTCTTGACATAAAGAGGTAATACGACTCTTTCCTTTCCTCTCCCTTTTTTTTTGAGAAATCGGAATTTGTGATTATAATCGAGGCGCACTAATTTCAATACGGTTGAAAGCAATGATTATCAATCGACGCGTACATATACGGTCTAGCAATTAGGTTTGCGCTGCATTCGTGTACGAATCGTTTGCCATTCGTCATTTGATGCGAGGTAGGATTTGAAGTCACGCGATATCCTGCAACGTGGTAGTAGCAATAGTGTGGAAATATCAAATCACGCAATTTGCCGTTGCTCTGATGTTACAACTTCTGTCAGAAAAAACCTATCTTGTTACGAATAGAACGATTTACAATGAAATACGTTTTTTTGCAGTAAATTTTATGGCAAATTTCATTTATAAATGTGCTATATTCTTTAAAGGAACACGTTTGTCATTTGAAAGTGACGTTATATTATTCAGGTTGATCGTGTTTCTTTTACGTTGGAAAATGTATATGTATTATCTTGTAACGTTCGAAACAATGTGCTATATTGAGATACATTGTTAGATTTATTTGTATTATCAGCTGACACTTCTGTCGAAAACAACAATAGGTATCTACGCATAAAAGGTGTCATGAGATTTGTTTTCGCTAATTATGCGCTGTTGCTTTATATTCATTCATCTTCGTCTTCTGGTTACGTCTATTCATTTCGACCTCATAGAATGCGTTTATGTTCTTTTTCATGCTAAAAATATTCATAAGCGTCATTACTGTCTGAATACTTTGAATGTGGCCTTCATAAAACAATACATATTATTGCATAATTTGAAAAAATGTTATTTCAGGAATCATCTCTTTATATCTTTATTATTTTACTAACTACAAATGTTGTTAGCGGGAAAATTTTTTTGCTTCTGCTTATTTTTTTTCAAAGGATAATGCAACAACTAAGAACTTTTAGTTAAAGCAAACACGAAAAAATTTCGAAAGATATAAATATAAAGCGTCAAACAAATTAAATAATTTATATTATATAATAATTATAATATTATATTGTAAATTTATGTAAATACAAATTTACAATATAATATTTAGTTGAAGTATATTAAACTTATAATAAAATGAATGTTTTTTTTTTCTGATAAAAAATCTAATATTATAAAAGTCATTTATTGCTCTGAGGTTATTAATTGATATTGGTTATTTTATATACATTTATATAAAATATAAATGAATATTGCCAACAACGCGTGCACATTGAGTGCAGTTACTTTTTTAAATATTATTTATTACGCTAACGGCCATTATCTTTTCTCTCTGGCTTGCAACTAGCGTTTGTACATTGCGCCCTAAACGTATATAAACGCTACATTTGAGCATCACTATCGTTACCGTTACGGTGTGAAAGTAAACCACGGTGTGGAAGTAACTAGAACGCGCTTATAATTTTTTTAGTTGCACGGCTTCTCAGTTGCAACTCGCTACATACATTTCAGTAATTTTCACAATTCACGTACTTCCGCAATTTCAATATTTGCGTATAAATGAAAATCAGCGCGGTGGGATGAAATGCAATATATTTACGCTTTGAAAAATAAGTTATAGAAAGTAAATTAATAATTCTCTGCGCACATACGAATATAATATAATATTTTTTTATAATGTTGAAATTTAGATTAAGATCTCTTAAGGGATTAAAACCTTTTTAGGAAATATTTTTAATTTTACTTGACAAATAGTACAGTGAATGAAAGAAAACTTACATTTCCTCCTGACAATCTCGCTGCATTCGATATCATTCTATTATGTCGGCTGCAACGTTTGAGCGAGAACACCGATTGCGCAATCATTGCAGCCGACAACTATATTAATTGCCAGCATATTACGTTGCAACTAGCAATAGAATAGAGGTTGTCGATAAACAAGTGACGGAATTAATATCGTGACCGTTTATTGTTTGAAATCTATTGATTGCAGTAATGAGTGTTCGAGCGAAGCGTGCAGTATCATTTTCCTCTATGAATCAATTCATCCTTTATATCGACGTAGTTAATATCGATGTAGTAGTGTCAATACTAAATTTAATTGTATATATATTGACAGCGATTGCTGGTTCTTTTATTAACACGAGTGTATGGATGTTAAATTATCTGTACACGGATAGAATTTTCTTTTAAAATTTACCCTGAAAATCATGTTAATTGTGGGACAATATAGTATTTAGGCAAATTTTACTGTGCACTACAATAAATTTTACTGCGAAATCCTATTGTAGTGCACAGTAAAATTTGCCTAAATACTATATTGTCCGATAATTAACATGATTTGCAGGGTAAATTTAAAAAAAAATTCTCTCCGTGTACGACATGCTTGTTTAATACTTTTGTGTAAGGTCATTTACTTAGACGTACGATTATTTTGCTGAATGATATATGTATATCTATCTGATTATGTTTCCCTCGTCCCTTCTAATAACTGCAAACTGCTAATAACTACAAAAATTTAGATAATTACGAATGTAAATCTAGTAATGATTATAAATGGTAAGAAAATCTTATATTCTTCTTCCTGGCAATCTTGTTGTATTCAATAGTTGATGTAAAACATTCGTGTCATCTTCATGGACATCATTAAGATACCTTACTAAAGTTTTATTTA